ACAGCGACATCCATACCCATAACATTACCTATACCAACACGCATACCCACACCGACACACTCACACCCACACACCCACACCCCAAACCAACACCCACCCACACCCACATCCACTCCACACCCACACCCAACAAAGCAATAAACTATTGATGGAGGCAATGATTGACGGCATTTTACACAACAGACACATGGATTCCTTTTTACAGAATGTAAAAAAACGTAATTTTAATTGTCTTCTGAAAAAGCAAAGCCTCTCCACCGCTATGCGAAAGTTGTTGTGAATGTTTGCGAATACAGAATACGTTTCTTCATACAGAATAAAAAATAAAACTTTCAATTGTGTTGGGATAAATCAATGTTTCCCACAATTGATAATGAGTGTTACGCATAAAACTTACTACTGGCAATATTATCAAGACATATTGATTCATCAGATTCAAAAAATATATGTTCGAATGATGCCGATGAACTGATATTTGAAATGAGTATTTCATGATGAGTGTAATGTCGACTTCTGTTAAAAGAAATCATGAATTCATCTTTCGCCTAGATTTTATTAAACAAGATTTATACTTAAATTTTTAACTAGACAAAAAAAATGAAAATTTAATGTTTTTTCAAAACCATTTCGAATAATTGAATTCATTCTTCTATTTCTTCTTCTTCTCAGTCTCCTCCTTCGTCTCCACCGTCATCACTGCCGCTACCTTCAAGTGATAATACCCATACTTTGCGATCACCAGACGTCTTTGTCGATATTATAGAAAATCCAGCACCTTTTTTAAGTGCTTCAATAACATTTGCTGGTGGAACACTGCACAAAATCCCTTGACTGTCATTTCGTATTTTGTCTGGAAATGCCTCTTGCAAAATATAAACTTGCATTGGATGAATATGATAATTTGGAACTCCCGTACTATGAATCATTGTAGGTCCTGAGTGTTCTTTGGACATATCACAGGAAAGTGTTATTTTTGTAGTTTGATCTAAATCCATGATCATTTTTCAAGGAAATATATGTTGCAACAACAGGTAGAAAACGACAGTTTATACAATAAAACTTGAAGAAGTATGTTTGTTTATATGCAACGACAAAAATTTTAAAAATACAATGATTCAATGAAAGAAAAAGTAAATGAAAGCAACGAAAGAAAAAGTAAATGAAGGCAACGAAAGAAAAAAATGAATAAGAACTAAAAATCAAAATAAATATTCTTACATGATTTTTTTCGAACTGATCAGTCCTTGTGCTCAGAATGCCTACAAAAATTATAATTCTTTTTTATGCTGAGAAAGAATTTCAGGGTGTGGGTATGGGTGTGAGTATGTCGATGAAGAGAAGATCAACACCCACACCCACACCCACACCTACACCCACACTCATACCCACACCCACACCCTTTTTTTGAACTTTGATATTCTGTCAAAAATTCGTTGGTACCCTAAGCTTACCATCTGCTGGCATTTTCATAGTGAAAACTGAGACTTCAAAAATTAGCCTTTTATTTCTCTGTTTATACAATTTAAAAACTTGCGCTAGTCAGCTATTGACCAGCTAACTTTCATTTACTAGATACCCATGGCATAGGTTTTGTTTAACTAGATTTTGTGAGAAATTTTGGCATAATTCTTTTGTCTGACCTCTTATTTCGATAGGTCTTAGTAATAATGTAGAATGCAAGATGGAAATTGGTCTCTCTAAGTCTCTTCAGTAAATGACAACCAAACTGAATATAATACTGGTTTCAGTCATTAATGAGTTACCAATGCACTCATCAGGCACAACGCTTTGTAGAAATTTAAACATACAACAATAATTGGAATAATCACTGACGAAATGGTGCTCAGTGTATCATCTATTTATTCGTATGGTTAATGAGAATCAACTTCAATTATTTGTGAAATAGCATTAAACGTTGCTTCAGCTACATCAGTTGGAAAGTGACCAGAATGTGTTGCATCTTCAATGTTGAAATTAATGAAGCAAATTGATTAGTATACGACTTGAAGGTGTTAAGTCTCCTCATGCTCATAGGGAACGGGCACGACATTTCTTGGAAGTTAAGTCAATTTATTAGTCATATAAAATTATAATTTAAAAGTGCTCTCGTGACAATTAAAATTCATGCGGAGAAATGCAAAAATACAACAAAGCATGAGGCTGTTAAGTCTGAAGTTTTGCATATAATTCTAAATATGTCTAAACGTTATAATAGAACACTTAAACTCAAATTATAATTTTTAGGTGGAACAGGTGAAAAACTTGTCTAGTATTTTTTTTTGTAGAACTGCTAGTTCTCTTCTTCATCGTTCTGCAAAGATGAAGAGCAACAAACAATCCATGGTTATATTGCATTCTTTCTGTTAACATTGATAAGAAAACAAGAGATGTATAGAAATATGTAAGACTTATAGTGAGGCCTATTACTTCTGATTATATTTAAAACAAGATAACTGCTTGTTGCAGAGCTTGCAAGTCTTTACCATCAAACAACATTGCGCATTGAGTATAGGTAGGAGCTGTTTATCTTTCTATGTTGGCCGTTATTTATGAGCTACGTCTTATCTTTTTGTTCTATACGATATATAACAAAGTAAGTGAAACTAAACTGTAATCATTTTGAACTGATGCGTTTAAGTGTTTGCGTTGGTAAGTTGTTTTTTTTAATATTCACATTTAAGTTAATACATAGTGCGTTTTGACTTAGAAAAATGAGATCAACCTTTTGCACTAACATTTGTTCTGATCTTTATGATGACCTTATCTGTGACGACGGCAGACGACCTACAATGCATGTGTAAAGGATGTTTCATAAGTTTCGACCCCCTTTTTGTTTTTTTCCTATCTTTGTCATATTCAATAATGGATAGATATTGAATATAGATTTTTGAAGAGCAACATCTAAGCTATCAATCACAAAAAAATATATTTAATTAGCATGAATTGTACGAGAGAACCATATCGATAAAAATTTTGAAAAATTTTCGTTACATGCACTTTTTGCTTTTTCTCTATCCGGATTAAAATTAAATCAGCTCAAATGATAGACCATCATTAGAAGCTTCTAAATCCAAAATATCAGCTCTTTCTGACGTCCCTGTGAAAAATGGCGAACCATACAAGTGTCACTACTCTTGATCCTTAGTCGAAAAATGACGGTTTTTAGGGTGCTGCTAGTATTTTGCGATTTTCTCTGCGTTGGCTCATTCATTTGAGTTCGGAGACGTTTCAAAAGATGCAGAAATTTTTTTTCTACAAAATTAGGTAACTCATTAATTTCTACAATACATCTTACTGACTGATACTGTCAATATACGAGCAAAAATTACTATTGGCTAATAGTAATATTTTCTTGTGTTTTCACTCTAACTACGCTAGATCCTGCTGGCTCAAAATAAAAAAATGTTTTCTGGTAGCCCATGAAATTCTGAATCGTTTAAGGTATTACTTCAAAATACGAAAACTCTGGCAGTAAAAGTTAGCTTTGAGGTGGACCACAGGCAAATTTTTCGAAAAAAAAACGCTGAGGAGGACCACAGGTAGTTTTTCGTAAAAAAATTAAGTTTTATCCAAATATATCTGGTTCGAGGTAGTTTTGTGTGCTGATTCCGAATATACTATTCATTTTTCTGTCTAATTGAATTATGATAATGAAAACTGCTAAATACAACCACAGTTTTTAACCTTCTGAATGGCTTAGCCACTGAAATCGAAAAAACATCAATTTTCTCAACAATATAACACAATGAAAAAACCCTGAATAAGTACTTTTGAAGCTTGGAGTCCAGTAATTCTAAATAAGATATAATATCCAGTCTCATATCTTCTAACGAAAAACTACACAGAGTTTCAAGAATGTCTATAAATATATGCTTTGTGGTATACTCAAGCTATCTGTGCCCGACAGAGTTTTTTGACTTTATGTTCTATCAAATAACATTTTTATGGTCCGTTTTTTATGCTGATCATGAATCTGAAATCAGATTTTTAATTGAGAATAGTCTAGAATATATAGTAGCCGATTATGGACCAAAATGAACGGAGATGACCATCACCTGCTTACATTTATGCTGTTGGCTAACTTTTGCTACCAGAGTTTTCGTATTTTGAAGTAATACCTTAAACGATTCAGAATTTCATGGGCTACCAGAAAACATTTTTTTATTTTGAGCCAGCAGGATCTAGCGTAGTTAGAGTGAAAACACAAGAAAATATTACTATTAGCCAATAGTAATTTTTGCTCGTATATTGACAGTATCAGTCAGTAAGATGTATTGTAGAAATTAATGAGTTACCTAATTTTGTAGAAAAAAAATTTCTGCATCTTTTGAAACGTCTCCGAACTCAAATGAATGAGCCAACGCAGAGAAAATCGCAAAATACTAGCAGCACCCTAAAAACCGTCATTTTTCGACTAAGGATCAAGAGTAGTGACACTTGTATGGTTCGCCATTTTTCACAGGGACGTCAGAAAGAGCTGATATTTTGGATTTAGAAGCTTCTAATGATGGTCTATCATTTGAGCTGATTTAATTTTAATCCGGATAGAGAAAAAGCAAAAAGTGCATGTAACGAAAATTTTTCAAAATTTTTATCGATATGGTTCTCTCGTACAATTCATGCTAATTAAATATATTTTTTTGTGATTGATAGCTTAGATGTTGCTCTTCAAAAATCTATATTCAATATCTATCCATTATTGAATATGACAAAGATAGGAAAAAAACAAAAAGGGGGTCGAAACTTATGAAACATCCTTTATACCCTGGGAAAACCTAGAATTCTGGAATTCATACTCGATACAAGGAGGTACATGGTGATACAAGGTGGTACATGAATTCTAGAATTCTGGGTTTCTTGGGAGTATATATGTTATTGTATCGATAGATGGACTCGATACAAGATGGTACAAGGTAGTACGTAGTCAGCTGTGAACCGCGTGGTACAAGTTGTATCCGTACTTGCGCATCTCTGGTGTTTGCCATCCACAAAGCAATGGAATGGATGAGTGTTTCAACGCTACACTTCTTCCTCAAATTACCAAGCTTCAACCCCGTGAAAATAACAATTGGGATGAATTCTTGTTACCGATTATATTCGCTTATAATACTGTTGTTCATGCAACGACAGACTATTCACCGTTTCAATTACAATTTCGACACGAACCATGTTTATCAACTGATGAACCATCAACATCATTCCTCTTCAATAAACCACAAGATTACTATGAACAAATGAAAAAAAATTTATCAATAATACAACGACAAGCTCGCGATTATATTATTAATCGAGAACAACAATACAAAAATAATTATGATAAACAACGTCAAGATCCACATTATGAAATTAACGATTTGGTATTTATCAAAATTCATTGAATGAAAACAAAATTAGAACCGAGATATTCGATTACGCCTAAAGTAATCGTTAGGAAGCAACATCCAATTTACTGGATAAAAGATGAACAAACACAAATTGAATCAAGGATGCATGTCAGTGACATTCGACCCATAATTATCCTCAAAACAACGTGAAATATTCCATTGTTATTTACTATAAATGATCATTCGATGTTAATGTAAGAATTAAAGTGTTTATATTGTTTTAATGTTGGCTCATGTATGATGTATGCGCAACGATGTGTGTGAATCAGCATTGATCATCAAGTATGTGAAGATATTGATATTTTAAAAGGTGCACATTAAATTATCAATATTATTATCATCTTCATGTGGGAAACATTATCAAGAGTTGGTCATTATAGAAATAAATAATATATTAAGCGATAGGGAGCTTTCATTCTCAGTAGTGTTCTTGTTTTGAGCAACTTCTTTCCTTTTAACTTTACCCTATTGAAAGTTATTTCATGTATCGGTGACATCTACCTAGGGATATCCAAAAGTAGTGGCAACGACATTTTAGTACCGCGTAGTAAGCTTGATAAAAGTTTCTTTTTACATAGGATGATAGAGAAACGAAAGCTCTTTCTTTCTATGGTATTTGATCATACTTCAATTGATATCATAACAATAAAGTCCTAATAAGACTAGTTTGCCTATCATGTATAACGGTTATAAAGGATGACCCATAAATTACCCGTCACTTTTTACCCATGGGATAAAAAATTAGGATATATTCACTGCGAAACGCGTTAATGCTGACCGATTTAACGCATTCGCAGCGTTTCCCATGATGAGAAACGTATACAACCCTTTTTTCTACTTACTCAAAATGCGTTTCGGAGCTACAATTCTCGGATGAAAACGAAAAGTATATCGTCTCGCAGCGTTTTTAACCGATTTAGCAGCTTCGAAACGCGTTAAACCGGTCAGCATTAATGCATTTCGCAGCATTTAAAAGTAACGAAATTTTTCCCATGGGTAATTGCGAATAGCTTTTGATAGGAACAAGATAGAGAGCTGCGGTTTTCACTATTCGAAAGAGGATGTGTCACTGCATAGTTCCATGTATTACTCAATGGTCTCGAATGATAATCAAATGGTGAGTCACTAATTTTTGGAAAAGTAGTGATATCATATGATGATGGCATAGAGGTTCAATTCTATGAAGTGAATGAGATCTGTGTACCTACGATCCAAGCTCACAGTCTCATTCTCTAGTGTTCTACCTATAGCTTTGGAATGGAAGAATATACAACTTTCGAGAATGAGATTCTGAGCGTGGATCGTAGGTATACAGATCTCATTCACTTCATAGAATTGAACCTCTATGTCATCATCATATGATATCACTACTCTTCCAAAAATTAGTGACTCACCATTTGATTATCATTCGAGACCATTGAGTAATACATGGAGCTATGCAGTGACACATCCTCTTTCGAATGATGAAAATCGCAGCTCTCTATCTTGTTCCTATCAAAAACTATTCGCAATTAAAAAGTGACGGGTAATTTATGGGTCGTCCTTTATAACCGTTATACATGATAGGCAAACTAGTCTTATTAGGACTTTATTGTTATGATATCAATTGAAGTATGATCAAATACCATAGAAAGAAAGAGCTTTTGTTTCTCTATCATCCTATGTAAAAAGAAACCTTTATCAAGCTTACTACGCGGTACTAATATGTCGTTGCCTCTACTTTTGGATACCCCTGGGTATATATTTAATCTACAGATAAGCTTGTTTTTACGAGCCAATAATGTATTTTTTATGATTCATTTCTAATTTTTACTCTTACTTTTGATTCTTTATTCCATTTTAGTTACTTCTTCGAATATTTAGTCGTTCAATGTTAGATAAATTTGTTCCATTTCATTTACGTGATACCCATAATCCACCACCTTACCTTGATCATTCTCAACAACAATCATGAATACATGCAGGAAAGAAAGCGAAGATGAATCACCAACGACAACAAAAATATCCACCATTCATTGTTTCATCGTCGATTTATGAAATAAAACATGTGAATAAATACCCATGGGAAAAATTTCGTTACTTTTAAATGCTGCGAAATGCATTAATGCTGACCGGTTTAACGCGTTTCGAAGCTGCTAAATCGGTTAAAAACGCTGCGAGACGATATACTTTTCGTTTTCATCCGAGAATTGTAGCTCCGAAACGCATTTTGAGTAAGTAGAAAAAAGAGTTGTATACGTTTCTCATCATGGGAAACGCTGCGAATGCGTTAAATCGGTCAGCATTAACGCATTTCGCAGTGAATATATCCTAATTTTTTATCCCATGGGTACCTCATCAAACATCATTAATTGTTATGTTAATTGAACTGGCACATTTACCATCAGCTGAGTCACCAATTTTTTTCATGATTCAACAGGTTTTTCGATTAATTGTTAGCGCTATTAGTAAAGTATATACATGGGGACCACTGAACAAAGAAGGTGTGTGTGTGGGTGCGGGTGAGATAATAACTGAATCGCTAGCCCACACCCACATCCACCCCACACCCACACCCCACCCACATCCACACCCCAACCTGGGAATGTATGCTATTGGTTGCACTATCATGTGATGATGTCCATTATTTTTCTAATGCATTATAATGCTAAAAACTTCATGCATTATACCCTTAAGTCGACTAAAGTGATTTCTTTATTGCTTTTTCCTTTCAGATGGCATGCTGTTCTCCTTCTCCTACTTACAATCAAGTAAAAGAGGAAATTTATCATCTATTGACATCCTCTCTTATACCATCAATTGATGCTGGTCTTACACTAACAGAACTCTGTCGCGAATATGAAAGCTGCTACAAACATGGACCAATACCTTATAATGATTTAGGGTATGACACGTTGTCACGATTTTTGGGATCCATGAAAGATGTAATATGTATGAACTACAAAGAGTGGCCTACACGTTGTTATTTGAATACAAATGGTAATGTTGATCAAGATAAGAGTAAAAGAAAAGTATGTTTAAAATTTAGTCTATCTTCTCTTCTATTCTAATCAGCATTGTTTTTCTTCGTTATTTGAGCTGAAGTTGCAAGGTCTATACCTTTTATTATCGTTCAGGTTCGTACTGGCACTGAAAATTATGATGAAGTCAAAAACGATATTTATTCAATATTAGTCTCCTCTTTACCAGTCGAAAATGGTCTTTCATTCACAGAATTATGTCAACAGTATTCATTGAAAAATGATGGTCGAAAAATGCCTTTTGAACAATTAGGTTATGCAACTTTGACAGACTTATTGAAAACAATGTGGGATGTTGTAAGAATCCAAGGACAGCGATGTTATTTACGAGTTGAAGAGACAATGAAAGTTCACCAGAAGAAAAAGAAACATAACAAATAATACAAATAGAAGTATAACACATTTGCGACGATGAGACCCATCGGTGGGATCCACCATATTTTATCAAGAAACTCAATAGAAAAACACTTTGTTTTCCTTTTTTCTTGGGCAAGAAGTTACATATAATATATCATCTGCTCCTGCCTTCCCTATTTTTTGAATCATTATCGCATAGTGCGATGCTTCTTGTTAAAACAATCAAGACAAGAACATTTGTCACAATTAGAACACAAGGTTTTTTTTTTCTTTGCAGTCGCATTATTTGCTTCTCTTAATCGTTGTTGTCTGATTTTCTCGTAGCAACCAGCACAACATCTTCAGACATCGCGGTCTAAACCTTCCTTTTCTTTGAGCTTGTGATCAACGAGTTTGCGCTTCGAACAGACTTGCTGATTGTTGTACTGGGTCGGTTTTAGCTTCTCGAATGGCATACCAAAGAGTAAAAATCTTCTTCCTCGGAGTTCGAAGATTCAAATTGCATTCTACCAAAATTATCATCTAAAGCATCCATATCACCCCGTGAGTTACCTCTGTCTTTAGTATCAGTTTTTTTTAACGGCATGTAAATTATCGTAAAATTTCATTTGTTTTTATGAACCCGAGAGAGGGAGTCAAAGATAATGCTATAAAAAGAATGTAAAGGAAAAACGTCGAAACTTCATTTCGTTTTATCTCGTGCCTACTGCGCAACGCATAAGAAAGAGAAAAGCAAACTTGAGCAATCATTCATCCGACTAAAAGATCACCTATATAATGATACAAACAAGAAAAAGAAAAAGAACTAGCAGCCCATACTGAAAAGGCTAATTGGTACATTTATCAGCACATGAATGCACATGAAAATGGACTTGTTAAAGCTATTTTCAAAGAAAATCGAATCGTCGTCAATATCTTAAATACTCATGGGAGCTCTGCATTACAAACAATAAGCACTAGAGATGTGCGGGCAAGGAATTTTCATGCCCCGCAGCTCTATCCCATGACTTCTGCCTCTCTCATCTCGCTACCCCGATTGACTAGTTTTTCAAACAGTTCCGCCCCGTCCCGTGTAATCAGTGTATACATATACACACATATTCTTCCTAGAGGTTGAGAATTCCTCATAAATCTTTATCACATACATCAGAACATATCTTTCTGTTGAGGGTGCTCGAAAATCAGGATTCCACATGAAAAAGATATTGCTGACAGGATGAATCGTAAATAAGAAATTCGAAGATTTTCATCCAAGTTCAGTCAAGTTTATTCAGTAAGGAATGTGTTGGGCGTGATGTGGGGTGTGGGTAGGGGTGCGACTGCGGGGGTGTGGGTGTGAGTGTGAGTGTGGGCGTGATGTGGGGTGTGGATAGGGGTGCGACTGCGGGGGTGTGGGTGTGAGTGTGGGTGTGAGTGTGGGTGTGAGTGTGAGTGTGGGCGTGAGTGTGGTGTGGATGCATAGGCTTTCAGTTACACAGATCGACACCCGCATCCACCACGACACACTCACACCCACACACCTACACCACACACCGACACCCACACCCACACCCTATTTCGAACATTTGATAAAATAAACAATTGATAAACTTATCCTTGTATTTTTTTTTGTTCTATCACTATTAATTCTTGTCCACTGCGAAATACATAGATGATTAGTTTTTATAAGAGATAAGAAGAGGATGATGAAAGAAAGAACAAGAAAAAACGGAAAAAAAACACGTGCAGATAATTTTATGCACTATTGTTATCTGCTAGAGCTCGACAAAAAAAGTTTTTTGTCGAGATTTTATTACTATGTTCTTAACTGGACACTGATCAAATAGTATAGAAAGATAGAGCGAAAGACGCTCTATCTATTCGTTAAAAAAGAAATTTTTCTATAGCTATTTATAAGAAAAAAAAGAGTCTCCGCCACTACTTTTGGATAACCATAAGTAAAATTTTTCAATATTTATTTAATACTTCATCCAGTTTTTAAACATTTCATTTATGGTACACAATAAAAAAAAAACAATTCAAATCACATTGTCACTGTCACGTACAACTTTGTTTTTCGGAGAAGCTAAATTTTATCTTTATTTCCCATCATTACACATCGATGCATTCTTCGATGTTGTGGCCAATAATCAGCTGTTGCATAATGTTGTGTTGTCCGTTCATCCCATAAACAAACATCATTTTCATTCCATTTCCATCGACATGTAAATTCTGGTCTTTTATTGATTAATGAAAATAAATATTGTAATAGTAAATCACTTTCTTGTTCATTTAATTCACTGATCTTCGTGGTATAACACTTATTAACATATAGATATTTTTCTTTGGTATGTGGATGTTCACGAATAACCGGTTGTTTGACTGGTGGATTCGTTTCTTTAGTTTTCATGAATTGCTCCATAGAAGCAGAATCCGGTTTAATCAACGGTTGATATGCATATGCAAATGAATGTTCGGCTGTGAGTGTACTGAGAATTGCTTTCATTTCGTTTGATAATTCTTTTTTGTAAATTTCAATCATATTTGCCCATAGTGTATCACCACCACCTTGTTTTGGCACAATTTTTGCATAGAGCATACCAACTATTGGTGGATTTGTTGACCATGTAGCATCAGTATGCCAGATATCAGAATCTGGTTTTTTATTCGGATCGACATCTAGACCATATTCCAATACACTTACTTCAGGACATTCGGTCGTATGCAAAAAAATCGGGTGCACATGTGGTTCACCAAATAAACGGGCGAAATCACGTTGTTGTATGGGTGTTAAATTTTGATTACGAAAGAAAAGCACATGATATTTGTAGAGTGCTTGTTCTAATGCATCTTTTTGAGCCTTAGTCAATGGTTGGGATAAATCCAAGTTGTGAATTATAGCACCGATACTAGGTGTTAGGACTTCGATGTTGAGTTGTTGACTAGTAGTCATTCTCTGTGTAAAGACGTTGTTGATTATTTTCAGATGGCAACTGAAACGAAAAATGCCCTTACGTAAATATTAAATAGAAGAGCTCTTCATGTGAACAAATGAATAATCAAGATAAAGAAAAGCAAAGAAGATATTGCAAAGATAACAAATCATACTCAAAGTACGCTTTTAAAAGGTTCGTGCATTTAACAAAAATATTCAGAATGGACCTGTTTCAGGTGTTTGAACATGCATTTCTATATTTCTTCATGATATTTTATCATCAGTAATACGTTGATTTATATTATTCAATCCTCAATTTCGATTTAGCATCGTTATAAACATGTGTCGTTTGCATTTCATGAGTCATCCACAAAGAGCAAAAGAATCTTAAGAACAGACCTCTTGCCTGTCGGTTCTCTTTTGTGACAAGCCTTTGAATTTGCAAATAGTATGTTTGAATAGGTGCTTTTCATTTGTATAAGTTTAGAAGATATTCGATGTAAGCAAATAGAGAACGATGCAGCATGTCTCCTACAAAAAAATACACGAAAATCGTTGATAATAATCGATTCTTTTCCAATGGAAGTGGCGTGTGATATGGGTAGGTCTGGTTTATGGTTTCTTTTCATATACCCATACTCTTCGAGGGTGTGTGGGGTGTACATGTGCATGCGTGTGTTTTTCTTTTGAACAGCACTAAAAATCACACCTACACCCACAAGGTGTAGGTATGGATGTGGGGTGTGAATGTGGATGGGTGGGTTGATCTTCTCTTCACTCACAGTCATCTATCCCCTTCTCCCAACCTCAATAGTGAAGGGAAGACTAATTCACAGCCTCATATCCTCCTGCACTTCACCCACACCCTCAATTGGTGAAAAAGGATATTATCGAGTTGCAATATAAATATTGTTCTTAATAATAACATCGATTAACTTATTCAATTGTTAGTATCATTTCTATTAACTGTCACATTCTGAAAGCATCTTTTGAAAGAATTGTTTTGAAGCCTTTCATAGGCTAAGTCAACATCAGTCATGCGAGAATCAGGGAGTGCAGTTACTTGAAGATTAATATCATTATTTTTATATACCTTAACACGATCGGTGCACCAGTGCCATAAGGGTTAATATTTACTTTCTATACAAAAAATTTGGGAAAGTGATAGGAACCTTCTTGCATTCTAAAAATTTCCACGCTGCTTGTATACACGAGCGTAACATTAATCAACCTAAGATACATATGTATATTCAATATGACTCGCTTTGTAGTCAATGAAAAAGAATTCATTCACAGTCTCATAATTTTGTTTATTTTTATTCTGATGAATACGTTTCCTATCATCCATATATCCGACATCAACTTTGATCAAAAGAATTAAAGTGCAATTAACCAACATTTAATTAATGAAACTTCATAGTCGATCATCTTTGCTGTTGACTATCCGTAAAAGTACATTTCTCATTCAAATTTCGTTCTTTATTTTTCTTTTTCCTATTAACAAAATCGATAATTTTATTTTTTTCTATGAATCAAAATATCTGAGGAAAACAATCTTATCTATGCATTCACAACCAGAGTAGAGATCAAATACAAAGTAGCATACTTTAAATTGTTAAATAAACAATCTGAAAGACAACATGTTCATCTTCTCAATCGGTTGTTATATCTATAATTTTTTTTCAAGAAACGCTTTGTTGTTAAAATCTTAGACAACTTTTTACATGAATATCAATAGGAGAATGCAATGATCAGGGAATGGCGTAATTTGAAGTTCATGAAACACTATGAGATGAATGAAAATTCAAGCTTATAAAGATTCTGTTTTTGAAAATAATCGAAAATTTTGTTGTTCCTCTAAAAAAAAACTTACATTACTTCATTCATGCACTTCAGTAAATATTTCTTTGACGACAAAACTTGAATAGAATTTCTTTCTGTCTTTTATCTAGATTCATAAACTTAACTTTCCTATAGCATTGTATTGATGTCATAGAAACATATTCTTGTCCCTTTACATGTTCCTCATCGGTCATAAATAATTAGGACACACATGAATATACAGTAATAAAAAGTAGGCGAAAACAATATGTTCTTATCTATAAACTCA